AAGAAATAACTTGGATAGGGAATGTTTAGACAGACGCTATCAGGTTTATTTCTTATTTTGGCTTGTGGATCTCCTTTGTGCTAACCCTGATGCTTTTGTTTGCTTGTAACCTTTAAGCTGAACCCCCAAGAAAGCTAGTTTGAGTATTTAATTTTTGGAATTGCTCTTTTTAAAATCTAGCAAAAGCCTAAGTTCCAGTTGTATTTTTTCCCTTTTTGTTTTTAACAAAATTTACCTTTTTTAAGAACAGGATTGGATTTTTGGTATCCTAAGAGGTTTGTGCATGTTGTTTGATTAGCTGGTAGCACAACTAATTTCCTTTGTTTTCTTTCTCAGCTCTTCCTGGGGCGGGGGTGAGTGGTGGGGGGGATGGGAAGGGTTTTTGAGGGTACCCCCCGGGGAGGAATTCCCAAGTGTTCCTTCCTCGGTCCAAGGGGTTTTTTTTGCATTTGGGTGGTGGCAGAGTTTAGCGAGCCAAGGTCAGAGAAAAGCTGTAATCTTGGGAGTTTAATACAAATCTGGAGTGGCAAGTATTAATTTTTAAAATCCTTGCAGGCCCCCCACCTTCTGCACTCAAAGTGCCAGAGTGGGGATTCAGCCTTGACATGGTGACAGAGCAGTGGGATCATTTTGAACCAGAAGCACAGACCTCAGGATTTTAAAAGGACGCATTTTTCCTTTTGGCTGCTTGAAAGACAGGGAGTTGTTTTTTTCTCTCTTTCTTTTCTTTGCTGCCCGAGTGGAAACAGGCAAGCCAAAGGATTAGCCTGCAAAGCCAGGTAGTCCAACAAGCAGTTTATTAGTTTTTTCTTTTCTTGCTTTGTGGCAACGAAATAGCTAGGCTAGCGTAGGGCAGCCTGTGCATGAGGTTGCGGTCAGGCACCAAAACTCTGGAGAAACCAGTCTTCCCAAAGCGGCACGCCCCGGAGAAGACAGACCCAGATCAAGCCCAGACATCCAGCTCCATGACAGAAATGCAGGGTAAGGATGGGGGACCAGGAACTTCCCAGGAGGGAAGGTTCAGCCCTCCCCAACCCGAGATCCAGGTGCCAGGATGGAGGGATGCCTTTAACCCAGGCTGAGTTCTAACTGAGGCAGAAAGGAATTTCTTCCTAGAGATGAAGCGCTTGGAAACAGAGGACAAGCGCTTGGAGGTGGAAAGCGGAGGAGAGGAGAAGCGCTTGGAGGCGGAAATGGAGCTGAGCCTTATTTTTTTTCATTTTTAGAATCCTTGCAGGCCCCTGCCTTCTGCACTTGAAGTGCCAGAGAGGGGATTTAGCCTTGACAGTAGTGTATGGTGTGCTACAGGCAACTTCCATCCTATAGACTAGAGCCAGAAGAGCAGCAATTCCTAGCATTGTGCTTGTGCGTCATACCAGCACAGACTCAGCTGAATCGTATTGCCTACTGAACTGCTGTTCACAGTCCCTCACCCCCCCAGTTTACTCCAGAGACTCTAAGCCAGGGATCTCAAACTTGCAGACTGTGGGCCATCTGCGGCCCGCGAACCTCCCTCCCCAATGTGGCCTGCGGGCTCCAGCAGTTTTGGGGCCGGGTCTCTCCCTTGGCCCCACCTGCCGCCCCTGGGCGCTCCCCCCCCAGATGATTTAAAATGGTCCGGGGCCCTGGCAGCACAGCCGAGCAGCGTCTGCCTGCTCGCTCCACATGTCTGCCAGCCCCTCCCTGTGGCCCCAGGGCGGGGCTGTGCCTCACCTCCGGGCGCTGCCCCCGTCCCAAGTGCCCCTGCGGCCAATGGGAAACTGCAGGGGCGGTGCCTGGGGGCAGCAGCGTGTGGAGGCCCCCCCGGCTTGCCTCCCCTTGGAGCCCCAGGTAAGCGACCCCCGACTCCCTCCCAGAGCCTGCACCCCAACCCCTTCCCACACCTCCCCCCACACTCCCTCCCAGAGCCTGCAACCCCACCCTCTGCCCCAGCCCAGAGCCTGCACCCAGCACCCAAACTCCAGCCCAGAGCCAGCACCCCAGACCCCTTCCCCCACCCAAACTCCCTCCCAGAGCCTTAGGCAGGTGGGGGCGGAGTTTTGGGGGGGCGGGTTCTGGGCGGATTGAGTGACATTATTGGCCTGCTGGGAGGATCTGAGGATTGGCACTGGCCCTAAGGTAAATTGAGTTTGAGACCCCGCTCTAAGCCAAATACTAAGTAGACCCAACCCTCCTTAGGGAGTAAGGCTGGATGTAAAGGAAATCAGAAACATCACTGGCTTATTAGCTACTCACAGCTACTGTAAGATCCCTCAATGTACGCAGCACCCTACATATCGTTATGGGCCAAGCAGCACAGGGAGGTGCGTCCCAGTTATTGTCATACCTTCCTCATTCCCACTACAAGTGTGTTTTTGCCTGTGATGGGAAGAACGAAGTATGTGATCAGCCTACACTTGCAGCTTTAGGCCCTAGAAATGGCATTTACTGCAAAATAAAGTTTTGAGCAGACATTTAGACAAATGGGGTGAGCAGTCAGCATTTGTATTTTTAAAATATCCTACGCTCACTGCACTTCCCAATTTAGACCCCTTTAGGGAGTCTCGGCACAAATGGTTCCATAGGATTGAAACAGAAAGTTCTCTGCTATGTGCCAGTAAACGTGAGCGCCAGCTGTGGTGTTCTCTACGTTCCTCCATCCACCAACTGCAACGCTTACTGATCACATGCATTCATGTGACAGGTCCAGAGGAAGCAGCTCCTGTTCCAAAGCCCACCCCCTATCAGTAACAGATTGAATGATTTTTGGAGAAATCCTGTCTGTTGGCCCTCAACCAAACAGTCTGAAGCCAGCCACTGTGCAAGTTTCCACCACAGACTCCACTCTCCCCCCCACATCACCCTTTGCTATTCAGTCTTCACTCTCTCTGCATCACATTGCCAATGCATGTTAACTCTCCCCCAGAGCTCTCTGTTCCAGTCCTTGAGTCCTGCCCTTCTGTACCCGCCCTCACTACACACTCTTATGCCAATGCACAAGCATCACAGGGGAGGGAATTCTATAGGCAGCCATAATACAAAGTGTGCAGATCTGCAAGAGTCTACACGCACACCTGTACAAGTTGTTTTTGCCTTTCTTTTAATAAAAAGTGATCTTCAAGATCTCAGACAAATGTGCAGCTGAGCTCCAGAGGACGTCTCCCCTCATTTGGGCAGCTTTTGCAGAGTCTCCACTCAACACCGCAGCTCTCAATGGGGACAGCTATACCTCCCTAATGAGGATCACTAAAGCACTGCTCCTTCACCAGCCTGTAGCTTTGCTGGAGAAGATATAGCAGAGTAACATTCTGTTTCTTCTCCCCCTTTCCATTGCCAGTGCAGAGAGTAATGAGACACTGAGCCATGGAGGGTAACCACCTTGCCAGTCCTGTTTGTTTTGCAGTATGCAGGATTAGGAGTTGTTCTTTTTTCAAGCCACCTACTCTTTTGGGGGTCCAACAGGGCAGACCAAAACTTGATCTAAACCTCTCCTTTACATTCCAAGAGGCTTAGGACACAACATCCTGAGCATCTTAGCACTGACAAGTCCAGGTGCATTTCACCAGCACCATTTCTATTGTATCAGTGTTCTAGCTGTACAGGTCTTGCAGGCTGCTTTCAACCACTTCCTACATCTACTTTGGCTTGCTACTAATTTCCAAAAGCTTACAAGTGAAGTTCTACCCAGAGATTCTCAGGTTTATCTTCCCTGTTACTTCAGTACCCTTGTAGATGGCTTGATATCTATGGGTGAAGAACACAAGTACTAAGTATTACAGGAGGCAGAGGGACATGGAAAAATAAAAATTGAGGTGAAAGCTAAGATTACATAGCTAAGATTACAGAGTTTATGTCCCAGCTCTGACTTTGTACAGTCTTGGGCAAGTCACTTCTCTTGTGTGCCTCAATCCTCAGCAGGGAAATGGGAACAGCAACTGCAAGGTTAATCGCAAAGTTTGTTATCAGGTCCCTGTGTACACTGCAGCAAGCTAGACTTGAATTCTGTGGTGCTATAGTGTGGCAAACTGACTGGAAATTCTGTAACAGCTTCATTTAATTATACAGGTGGATTTTATTGAATTCAATAGGAAAGTGAATACTACAAGCAATAGTATAACCCCATGATATTCTATATTTCCTTTTGTGCTACTCTACATTTCCAGTATGCTAATTATCTGCATAATCAACATCATTATGAAGGAATCTAGGTGAGAGAGGCAGGGTGAAAGCTTTCCATGCTCAGGAGGCAGTTTAGGATCGTTGGATAAGCATATTAGCAGAATTTTATTGTGGATCACTTGAGCAGAAACAGAGCGTTGCTATTAAGCTGTCATTAGGAGTCAAAATTTAACTGAAATGAATGGGGGCAGTTAATCGCTCAAAGTTATTGTTTCCATGTTACCTGAGACTACGGACAGTCTCTTTATATTCAGTTCATATTTTTAACATCCCCTTGAAAGATTTTCAATATGGAAGTTGAGACTGGAGCAAGATCTGTGACAAAGGATGGATTCTAAAAGAAATTCTCCAGTCTCAGAACAGCAGACTACATCAGGCTGTGTTTATGACTGTCAAGTGCTTAGATGTGCCCAGCTCTAGAAAGGCTACATACTCCTGAGGTGTCAAAATACAAACTAGTCCTGCTGAAGAGAAGCGTATCAATGTTCAGGTAGGAGGAGTTCCCAACACAGCTCTGCACAAGCTATTACAAAGTATGCATGCATTTTTCTCTCCAAACACCACTTTCCTCCCTACTTAGGGGAACTCTTTCCAAGGATGGGAGTGGAGTCTGACTAGGGACTTGGAAGATTGTCTGTATGAAATTTTAGTTTGCACTGACTTTGCTAGTGCTTTTAACGTAGCCTGTTGTAAAAATAAGCAAATATCTAGATGAGTTGATTACATGGAAGATCTCTGCATACCCCTGGTTGAAAACCACTGATTTAAAGCCAACAACAAGAGTGTTTACAAGGGAGAGACGAGACTGGTTAGACAGCCCCTTCTGACTATATGTATCTTACCAGCTGTGCAGCCAAGATACTGGAGAATTCGCTGTTCATGGCATATGGAAGTGCTGTCTGTGCTCTTGAACCATACGTAGTCTGAAATCTCTTTTTGATTTCATTCAGGAAACTGAAGGCTCTGGAACGTTCAAAGTTCTAAAAGTAAAAAAAAAAAAAAAATATTCACAGCAGGCAGAAAACTGCAAGTCACCCAACACTGTTCTAGTTAGGGAACTGTGGGATAGGTCGCCTACAGAAAAACTTAAGATATGCAACCATTTAGAGACCCTCCAACTTTTATCAAACATGAACAACCGCGCTGCGCATAACCCTGCAAAAGCCTTGCTACCTCTTCCTCTTAATCTCTTTGTTAAGGGCAGTCACTTTAATATCAGTCTGTTTCTTGCTGGATACCCACTGGAATCAGGCATACAAAGCTCAAAAGCAAGCCTGTGCTTCATTTACTTTTTAAGGGGAAACAAAGACAACAGACTTCACAGCCTCCATTTGTACCTTCTTCCACAGTTGAGGGTAAAGCTTAAGTGTACTGTACTAATAACTAAGGATGCCTTAGAGATGACTGTAGAGTGAAAGTCACCTGATCCTTGTAGGTTTATTGTACTGGTCCTGCTGAGAAAGCTGGGTGAATCTTACCAACCTTCCCCTTCCCCTCCCCCACAGGTTTTCACTTGCAAGTAGAAAGCAGCAGGGGAAGTTGGTGTGGTGGGAAGGAGACACTGTCACCCCCCATACATACACCAGCTGGATATTGAGGTAGACTGAACTCAAATATTTGAACTTTGACTTTAAATAGAGGGGCCCATGTTCTGAGTTACACCAGTGTAAATATGCAGGAATGCCACTAAAGAAAACAGCCCCATGGATTTGTGCCCATTATTGATTTTCATGGATAAGCACAGAGGAAAAAAGCTATCATTTGCAGGCTGTATGCATAGTAGCGTTATCCAAAATACTTACATCATCTGTGATACATAGGTATATAATCCGGTCTTGGCAGATATAATGAAATAGATAACTGCAAAAAGGGGGAAAAAAAACAAGACTCCATGAACTGCTGTAGAAGACCCCAATGTCTGATGTGTTCGAACAGCTATCTGCCAGACACACTCAAATTAAGGAGTGGAGCAACTTGCAGCCACCCTACAGAAAAGAAACAGATCCCAGCATGCAATGCTCCATCTTGATCACAGCATGTTTCTTCTGGGATCTTTGTATTGTAACCTGCATAGAACTAAAGATAACAGCTGTGGGCAGTGGGTACATGTTGGTATCCCAGTGGCTATATGTGGCTCACAGCCCACATTTGGGCACCCCTGGATTAATAGCCAACTGGGGCAATGCCTAACTGCAGATGTATTAAAGTTATGCACTGTACTGATCATTTAACATACCAAGGTAAAACCATCAAGGGACTTCCACAGATTGTGTATTCAATCTTATCAGCCAAAGTATAAAGCAAACAATCATGCCTAGCAAAGTAAGACAACATAAATTCCTTGAAAAAGTATAGGAGTACTTGTGGCACCTTAGAGACTAACCAATTTATTTGAGCATGAGCTTTCGTGCGAAAGCTCATGCTCAAATAAATTGGTTAGTCTCTAAGGTGCCACAAGTACTCCTTTTCTTTTTGCGAATACAGACTAACACGGCTGTTACTCTGAAACTTGAAAAAGTATAGCTAGTGTGTCCACACAGTAATTTGCTTAATGAAGCAATGAAATTTCCATTGTAAACTCTTCTGGCCCAGGTCTCAAGTTGCAGTGTGGGAGGTCTAGGTTGGCTATTAGGAAAAACTATTTCACTAGGAGAGTAGTGAAGTACAGGAATTGGGTTACCTAGGGAGGTGGTGGAATCTCCATCCTTAGAGGCTTTTAAGGCCCAGCTTGACAAAGCCCTGGCTGGGATGATTTAGTTGGGGTTGGTCCTGCTTTCAGCAGGGGGTTGGACTAGATGAGGTCTCTTCCAACCCTAATCTTCCATGATTCTCTAGCACAAGGAGGCAAGTTCATGATTCAGCTCTCTAGGTGCTACCACGACAGAAGTTGTATCAATAACCCAGTTAATGTTTTTACTAAACCAATTTCAAATGCACATGATCCACAGGCCTCCATCAGCTGCTTACACAAACAGCTCTATGGTGATTGGCATCCTCTGACTGCTACGCTGCATTTAACTAACTGTGGAACTCCTTGGAAATAGCGAGCAGCCACATTGCTCTAAGACTTGCATTCATTCTTAATTTTTTGATTTGCACCTAGACTGACACACTTAAGCAAGCCTGATGTTCTGCATTATTAAACACCTACAATGAGTAAAACAGCAGTGTTCTTCCCAGGTTTTAGAAAGGCATCTTAGTAATACTTTTGAATTATTATACAGCCTCTTTCATCTAAGGATCTAAAAAACAATTGACAAGCCTTTAATTAAGTCTCACAACATTCCTGAGAGATGCAGTCTACCTAGTACAATTTGTCCAGTTCTGCCTCACCTGTGTGTTTGCGTGCACACTCTGATAGATCCCCATTAGGAGTTCTGGACATGGTTAAGATTTTTACTGGTGAGATTGTGAGCCCCTAAAAGCCCAACCCTATTCCCAAAACGGGAATAAACCCCATCCCTTCTATGTCAGAAGCCTCCTTCATGGCAGCAGCAGAGACTGGATAGCATCGGGAAGTCCAGGTGCTAAACAGCATTAGGTAGGGACCCCTGAAACCACAGTGTGTTTGCTTCAGGAGTGGGGTGCAGCAAGATCAGGCATTCACTCCTAAAGTTCTGCATTAATGGGGGCACACCAGGCTTCAGCTATTTTCTCTGAGTTTGTTTTTGGTTTAGAAACAGAAACTCCAGACATTCAGGCACAGGGGAAGAGCATTCCCAGGTCTCCCTGTCTATGGGGGCGAGGACGCTGGGCAGAAACACCCCAAAGATTCTACAGCCAGTGGAAAGTAACTACCTAAGGTCTGAATGCTAAGCCCTCTCCTCAGGCCACCTCAGCTGCCCTGCTCAGGTGACCTCAAGTTCCACAGCTGGACAGAACTGAACTGCATCTTCCCAGCCCCAAGCCATGATCTTTGCTCTGTCCCAGGGGAGGGAAGGAATTGCCCGCTCCCAAGTAGGGGAGCAGGGCTGTTTGGAGGATTTTGAACACAAGTAAGAAGACGTCACACCTTCCAAACACCCTTCAAAAGGAGGTGTATGGAATTAGAGCCAATCTGCCCATTTCCTTCTCCCGTGGAAGGACAGCAGGACAGAGGAGTGCCAATCTAGGGGTGGTTCTCCCCATTTTGTTATGGGCATACAAACACTGCAGAGTTAGATTGCTAGGACGGAACCCCTGTGATTCTGGCTGGGGAGGCGGTTTCATACTGAATGCAGAGTGTGGCTAGTCACAGTGCTGCCCAATAGCTCCAAGCCCGCACTGTGCATTATCCTACTGCAGTAGTTTAGAAAGTTTGGGAAATGCAGTTCACCCCATTCAAGCGAAGTGTTTAACAAAGCAATAATCTTCCCTTGCCCCAGTTATAGGCACCCACCCCCCAGCTGATATCTTCAGTCACTTCCAAGATTAGCTCCCTCAAGGCCTGGGGTATATACACTCCTGCTGCATGTCACATGTAACCCATAGCACACTTGGGAAGCAGACATGTCTGCTAGTAATCATTATCCCTTATCTGAGCTCCCTGAGCAGTTGAGACAGACTGTCAAGCCAAGATCCTCTCTATCAGGAATTAGCCCAATTAGCATGCATCAAATATACTAATGGAGGCACACCTAGCCAACTGCCCAGCTTGGTTTTAAGTAGAAACTAAGGATTGGAGTAAGGAATGTGAGCTGTCCTCAAGATTAAGATTTAGTATTTTTGTAAAAATTGAAAACTGCCAAGCAGATACTAGGCCAACTCAGTGGGACACATCCCTAAAATACAACACTTTGCAGTGCTCCCAGTCAAAGTCCTCCCCAGTTAGAGCTATAATTTGTGGGATTCCTACAAATTTTGTTGGACAGCCTGTGTGTAACAATGGAGCAGGCAGGTCCAGCCAGTTGTTACCTGAAAGCACACTTGGAATCCTAAAGTGCACCAAGGATAACAAGTTTTGGACCCATGGCCTTTGACAGTATGAGGGAAAGTCTGGGTTACTCTAGATTAGAGATCTAGATTTGAGATGCAATTGAAATGAAACACCCTGAACTTTGGGAAACCATCCACCTGACCTTTGCCATTGCGGTTCATCCATAGTTCTGTGCCTGGCAGTTTGGGTCATGCACTGTTGTATTCAGCATATTTTAGGAAAGGTTAAATAAATCTATAGTAAAGCCTTATGCGACACAGATTTTTCTCTCCATGGCCCAAAGCCAAAATTGCACATAATCAGTCACACCCTTCTGGCCTCCCCCATTGCTGATGACTATTTCTGTGAATATCCAAGGAATCTCAGACTCCTAGTACAAAGATCCTCCTAGCGATACCAGAGGATAATACCAACTCCACTAGTGTCTTAGAGGGATCAGTCTCCAAGAACTGCCTGAGGAATGAGATATCTTAAATGTATTGGTAGCCAAGAAGTGTCAGCAATCAGTGCAGCAAACCTGGTGCCCTTACACTCTGCATAACTGCAAGTACAGCCCAGGGCATCCCATGTTCAGCACCATTTCAGAAAGTGTGGTTAGATCAATTACTCATCTTTCAATCTTGACATGTGATGTCTTAATCCAACTATTTCTCAGAGCTTCACAGGGCATTCAAGACCTGAATTTTTAACATAAGAAACAAGGTGGGTGGGAGCAATGCCCTTTTCAGGTCTCAATACCTCACTAAGTAGCCATGGCCCAAACTCAGTTTCTCCCCACAGGAGGTCCCTTCTCTCCCCCTTCTCCACAACCCCAGAAAACAAAGCATTACTCACTTTCCATGTGAGTAGGTGAGTTTGTTGTTCTCTGATGGTATCCTTGCCAGGATCTGCTCCGTCACCTCCAGGAAATTTCCTCCACACCAGGCATGTTTGGCAAGGATGGTCGTGCCTCTGGCAACAACAGCAAACAGGATGGCCATTGCTTCACACTAGCTAGAGACACAATACACACAGGATGAGGGGACTCATAACACGTCCTCTATGGTTCCCTCTCAGCAGAGCACAGTAATTCCATTTTAACAGCTCCTCTCAATTTTTGGCATAGAGGGCAGGGAAGGAGTAAGACTGTTCAATATTTCTACCGGATGCCACTACCTGCAGCCCATCTTTCTTCCTCTTCCCCAGGCACCACTCAATAAGATAGGTAGAAGTATGCTGACCTCTCTACAAGATTCCAGTTTGATACAGGTCATGCATCATGGGACTACATGCAGTTAATTTGTTGCAAAGGAGTTTGCTTCTAGGTAACTAAGTTTTCAATTCTCACAGGAGAGTCACAATTTCACATTTCCCAAGTTAGAATTGCACACGACTTGCTACATACAATGGAAAGACCATCTCAGACTGTAAGCTTTTTGGGGCAAAGGCTAGCCCCCTGTCTCATAACAGACAAGGGGAGCACAACATTAGCAGCAAGACTATGATTATTGTACCAGTAGTGGTCACAATGCACCAGCACCCGTTCTAATGCATGCACACAAATCTCTGTGGGTTAGCTGGTTGTTTTAAAGAGGTTTCCTGATTTTAGTAAATTATGGATTCAAAGTACAGGAGAGACACCAGCAGCTTACAGTTCTGGAACTGCCATATACATTTCCCCAGTAGCATCCCTTGGTCTGGCAGTTAATGAAGTACATATGCTTTAGTCAAATCAAATATCAACATGCATGGACTCCCACAACAAAACATTCACAGCATGCCATTCTGCATCTTTTAAAATTAGATTGAATGTTCCTCAGACTGCATCCCTTGGTGGGAAGATAACCACGTATCCTCACATCCTATGAATATATCAAATTCAGCCTGCGGCAGGGTTTAAGCATTCAAGCAACTGGGGCTATGCTCAGTCTATCAAGACAGTAGAGAAGTACTTGTTAGCTGATGAGACAGCAGACTGTGTTAATCAGTGGAATATCAGCACTTTAGTCTGCAGTCAGAGACCCAATATTTAAAAGATGGAACCCCATGTTAGGCTGCAGCAGTGACATCTGCTCAGGTGGTTTCTCTGACCAGCCAATTCCAGTACATCCATAAGCCTCTTTTCTGCTTAGAGCAGATGTAAAGGGAACGCCTCCTGACCCTGCAAGGGAGCCTACTATTTTTCATTTTCCACCTGGAGAGTTCCAATGTCATCCATCTTGTACTCAGCCACTGAAACAAATCCTGTGTGCATCACCATGGATTTGAACTTGGGAAGCACGGGTGGCAGAGCCAGAGGACTGTGTGCGAAAGTGACTGGGATGACTGGAAGGTCAGCGTTGAGAATGCCAAGGGATCAAATCCCTGTTCAGACTGGAAGCAGGATTGTGCTAGTTTCCCTGGCACTTTCCTTTCAGTGGGGATGAGGTGTTTTATTCTAGGCCTTAAACTGTAAAAGGCCAAGAAAAGGCACCAAATTACAGCACTTTCAGCGCTAGCCTCCTTGCCCATAAACCCAGCATCTACCATTTCAGTGGACTGTTGTGATAACTGGGCCTACAAATTGACCCTAATTGTGAGTTCCACTGTAAAAAGTGATTCAAAGTTCATAAAATATCACACCACCACCAAATGATGGGAAAAGGTTCAAAAGAGACAAAGACTGAATTAATCCAAACAAAGAGGCCTACGGATACAATTCCAGAACTGTGTTAAAATCATGCCTGGTATACAAGAACAGTGAGACCACAACTGGTGTGTCAGAAGTTAGACCTAACTGGTAAACAAAATAATGACGGGATGGGTATTCTACCCATTGCTCTCTTTTGGGGTCCTTAAAAGAAAAGTTTCAGAGTAGCAGCCATGTTAGTCTGTATTCGCAAAAAAAAAAAAAAAAGAGTACTTGTGGCACCTTAGAGACAAACAAATTTATTTGAGCATAAGCTTTCGTGAGCTACAGCTCACTTCATCGGATGCATTCAGTGGAAAATACCAGTTGGAGAACACTTCAATCTCTCTGGTCCGTAATCGAGTGAAAAAAAAAAAAAAAGCTCACGAAAGCTTATGCTCAAATAAATTTGTTAGTCTCTAAGGTGCCACAAGTACTCCTTTTCTTAAAAGGAAAGACTTTTTTTGGGAAAAAAGGAGGAGGATACCGCAACTCTGGCTGACTGAAAAAAGGGGAGTGAGCTTCACCATGTTGGCTGCTGCCCCCATTGTCTCTTGGACCCCCAGATCATCTTCATCCTAACCTGAGAGATGTCCTGACAGAGGACTCCGATGACATCAGTACCTCCACCTCTACCAGCTGCAGCTAAACCCAACTACCACCTGGGATGTGAGTCAGTGCAGTGGCTGAATGGTTAAGTTACTCAACTACAACCCCAAAAGTTGTGCTTTTGAGTCTCACTTGATCTCACACTGAAAGGCCATCTCCAGTTCACACAGTGGCCAAATGATCCAGCGGGTTACGGCAGCCAAGGCAGTTGGATGTGCTGCTGGCCACATTACTCCCTTGGGTACCATTGGCTATGAAACTGACATGTCTTAATCACATAAGCCCCATGAGCCATTGGCTTGGGGAAACTTTAACCTGGGATGTAAGACTGTCACTTGCTGCATGCTCGTTCCCCTCCCCCCCCCATTTTCTTCCCCTCTTTATTTCTTCTCTTTTTCCTTCTGCCTAATTAGAGTCTGGCTTGGCTAGCCACGACTGTATATTTTGCAAGCCTGTGACCAGAGGGGCAGCTAAATGCAATGATCTAAACAGCCTGATGCTAATACAAGTTTGCCAGGTCTTGAGGTGGCTGATCAGACCATGTGCTGTGCCTGGGTTTTTCAGCAGTGAGCGTCAACACCAGAGACAGCAGCTGCGTTTTCTATCTTTACTGTTCTTTTCTCTTCCGTCCTGTCTCTCATTTTGTCATTTAGGAAACTAGATCGGACTTTAACAACAACACTTCCTCCATCTCAGCTAACTTCTTCTCTTTTCCCTAGAAAGTACTGTTATCTTGGATGCCATCTGAAAGAGGGTCAAATAAGGTTTCTTTTCCTTTCTGAAGACTCTCTAGAGCTCAAGGGAAAGGCAACAAGGGTTACTGTTAAAATGAAAACCTTATTTAATACTTTACATACATTTCAAATGCTTTAACTGCCCCCCCCACCTTTAATAAAAGATTAAAAGAATGTTTCATGGTGTGTTTGCCATGGTACAAAGCAGGCTGAGGTCACTGGATACCAAACCTTGTTTAAACTGTTTAATGTTGGACAATTTCAGGGTCATGTTAACACCTTTAACTCTTTAGGCCCACATATTCCATCTCAGTTAATAAAACAGGACTCCATCTACAGCACGAAAATAAGCCATTCCTGACAATAGCGGTAGGTACCAGATTCCCAACAGAAGCATTGAAAACTGCTGGTTTCGTCCCTTCTGCATTATGTACACTGTTACAAGAAACAAGCATTGAATTTGAAACTTGGTACCAACTGTTGTTTACAGCAACAGACCACTTCCCTAGCACAGGGGTAGGCAACCTGTGGCACGCGTGCCAAAGGAGGCACGCGAGCTGATTTTCAGTGGCACTCACACTGCACGGGTCCTGGCCACCGGTCCGGGGGGCTCTGCATTTAAATTTAATTTTAAATGAAGCTTCCTAAACATTTTAAAAACCTTATTTACTTTACAAACAACAATAGTTTACTTATATATTAAAGACTTATAGAAAGAGATCTTCTAAAAATGTTAAAATGTATTACTGGCACGCAAAACCTTAAATTAGAGTGAATAAATGAAGCCTTGGCACACCACTTCTGAAAGCTTGCTGACCCTTGCCCTAGCATATACAGAGCTACTGAGACTTGAAATGACTCCATGCAATCAAGGATCACATCAGTATCCATCATAGGTGGCAGCATGGACAAAACAACCTGATACGACCTGCACTTCAGCAACCTCTTTTTGGCCAGCACTTTCCCCACCAGGTGCAGAGTCATTATGCATGAAAACAGGAGAAAGACACATACAGAGGAAGTAGCAGACACCAGACCATAAAGCAGCCTTTAACTTTTGGACCCAGAAAGCATATACTGAAAGAACTATCACCACCTTTTTATCAAGTCAAGCCCTGGTCTGCTCTAGCAATATGGGCATAAAATGACATTTTTTTTTTTTTTTTTTACTTAATTCTGCACATGGGCTTATATTTGATGTTTGTGATATCCCCACTCAGGATCAAGGTTCCACTGGGTCAGCCACTGTAGAGACAGAGATATAGTTCTGTCCTGGTAATCATACTTGCTGAATCTCACTTCAGATTAGATGGTGAGTATGCCTATAGTAGGCATGTGAGAAAGCAGGAAGAAGGGCAATGATGCTAAGACCACAGTGTTACACAGGTTAGTTATTCCATAGCTTAGTGGTTTGAAATCTGAGAGAGTTGATCTCATTGTATTAAAGAGTGCTGAGTGCCATGCAAGCTTGCCAACTCATGATGGCATCACAAGAAATGTGTCATGAGGAGGGATTTGAAGAATAGGGTAGTGGATTTATGGATTAAGTCAGAAATGGCATTCCATGCTGAAAATCAGCAAAAACAGCATAGAGACATTTGTGGGAACAGACAGGTGTTCAAGCCTGCATCACTGGCAAAGCTAATGTGATAGGTACGGCACAAGAGCAGATAAGCAGGAGAGCAGAGCAATGAAAGGTTTAGAGCACTCCAGGCTGCTGAAGCAGACTTTCAGAGAAAGAGGGCAAATCAGATATGCTATTAAATGGAAGAGCTTACAAACCCGAGTCCCAGAGAAGACACCCTGAATTGATGAAATTGCAGATGCACAAGAGCTGCCCACACTCACTTTCCCTTGGCCTCTTACATGAAAACAGAGGAATAAGCAGGGCAGGGCGAAGGGCACTCCAGCATGCGTCAGCCAGTCACAGCACTATTTCCCTCCAGTGCCCTTGCGTTCACTGAATTTGCCTCTTTCACTTCCCTCTTGGTCTATGATAGGGAATCTTCAGACCCAAATTAATGGGCTTTCAGCATCACCACCCGCTAGAGGTGGAGGGCTAGTCTTACTCCTGCTGCTCCTTTGCTCTGCACTGGTTGCTCAAAGCAGAACTAATTAGGGTCTCTGAATGACTGCAACTTGATACATACGTTTACCAGCTGCACTGGTGTCCTTCTTGCTTCTTTAAGCTGTGCTGATGGGCTCCCCACTTCCCCATGCCACTTTACATTTCAAGAAGTGCTTGTATTTGCCTCAGTCACCCCCACCTGTCATTCTTACCCCTAGAGGGAACAGCCTGGTTAGGATATAAATCTAGGCTTAAGCAGTAGGACTGACATCCCATTAATAAACTTTCATGAAGCCTTTTTTGCAGCTTCCTTCTCCATGCAACAGTACTGCACAGTCACTCACTGTTGGCTTTTCAGCATTAGCCCCGCTACCTGCATAGCATCCAGCAAGCTTCCCGCTTATCCTCACTGTGCAGCTGTTTTGTCTACTTATGTAGCTTCAAGGCCCTATCAGCTTGAGGAAGTGAGCAAGCTCGCTCTCAGGGGCTTTGAATGCTTCTCTCTCAGCATGCACTGTTCTCATCTCTGATTTGCAAGAAAAAGGCTAGCCAAAAAGGACAAAAGCTACAGTGACCTTTTTCTGTTTGCCATCATCTTTGCAGAGATATTTTCCCCAATATTATAGATAGCACATCTGTGATCATGGCATGTAAGACTCGATATTGTCCTTTAAAGAAATAAGACTCTTCTCTCATTACTTCATCCATCTTCTCTAACAGAACTGCAGTTTTATTAAACGTGCAGGAACACTTCAAGGACAGAACGCTTTGTTTAGTAAGGTTCCCTAAAAGCTCAAGTAGCCTTAACTCCTGTCATGATCCCTTAACAGGTTATTGCTTTCTTCCTCTATGTCGGGCAGATAAATTGGCATCTGCAGCACAGACGTTCAAGATTCTTTTGCAGGATGAAACAAACACACACTTATGAAATGGAAGCACTTGTACAAAAAAAAATTAAATAAATAAAAAAAACAAACAAACATACCCACAGGGCATTTCACTTATGATCAGTGTAGGGGACTGACTAGGAGTCAGGACTCATGGTTCTGGCCATTCTATCAATTTACACCTTAACCTTTTTTCTAAGGGCATGGCTACACTTGCAGATGTAGAGCTCTTTGAATTAAACCCACCTTCAGAGAGCACAGTAGGGAAAGCGCTGCAGTCTGTCCACACTGACAGCTGCAAGCGCACTGGCATGGCCACATTTGTGGCATTTGCAGCGGCATTGGGAGCAGTGCGTTATGGGCAGCTATCCCACAGAGCACCTCTTCCCATTCTGATGCTATGGCTTGTGGGAAGGGGGCGGGTCCTGTCCCAATGCCCCGTGATGCATCAGTTCACATCCCAGCAATCCCTGTGCTTCTATCCACATTTGGCGCCATCTTTCAAGATTTTCTGTACTGTGTGCGCGGTCTTCCCTTTTGGTCTGCAGGAATGGGGCCCGAACTGCTGAGGAGTATGATGATGAGTCTCACCAGCACGTCATGTTTGGCAGTCAAGTTATTCCTTATGATGCAAAATGACAATGAGGGCTCCAACGATATCGACTCGAGTAATGCACATGACATGAGCGTGTCCGTGAATGCCACAAGCAAACTCACCACCGTGGAACACTGCTTTTGGGCTTGGGAAACAAGCACTGAGTGGTGGGATCACATTGTCATGCAAGTCTGGGATGACGAGCAGTGGCTGCAGAACTTTCAGATGAGAAAAGCCACTGTCATGGGACTGTGTGAGCAGCTTGCCCCCACCCTGCCGTGCAAGGACACAAGATTGAGAGCTGCCCTGACAGTGGAGAAGTGGGTGGCTATTGCAATCTGGAAGTTGGCAACTCCAGACAGCTACCGATCAGTCGCTAATGGGTTTGGAGTGGGAAAGTCGACTGTTGGAATTGTGTTGATGCAAGTTTGCAGGGCCATTAATCGAATCCTGCTCAGAAGAACCACGACTCTGGGTAACGTGCATGACATTGTGGATGGCTTTGCACAAATGGATTTCCCTAACTGTGGAGGGCTGATAGATGGCACACACATTCCAATTCTGGCACCAGCCCACCTAGCCTCCGAGTACGTTAATCGGAAGGGGTATTCCTCTATGGTTCTCCAGGTGCTTGTGGATAACCGTGGGCATTTCATTGACATTAACGCAGGCTGGCCTGGAAAGGTGCATGACACACACATCTTTTGGAACACTGGCCTGTTCAGGAAGCTGCAACCTGGGACTTTTTTCCCCAGACCAGAAGATCACTGTAGGGGAAGTCGAAATCCCCACTGTGATCCTTGGAAACCCCACTTACCCTTTAATGCCGTGGCTCATGAAACCCTACACAGGGAGCCTTGACAGCAGCAAGGAGCAGTTCAACAAGAGGCTGAGCAGAATGACTGTGGAGTGTGCTTTTGGCCATTTAAAGGGCCGCTGGCGCTCTCTGTATGAGAAGCTGGACCTGGCCAATGACAGCATCCCCGCGGTTATATCCGCGTGCTGTACCCTCCATAACATTTGTGAAGGGAAGGGTGAACGATTCACTCAGGCATGGAACTTGGAGGTTCAACACCTGGAGGCTGAATTTGAACAGTCAGAGAGCAGGGCTATTAGAGGGGCCCAATGTGGGGCTGCAAGGATTAGGGATGCCTTGAGGGAGCAATTTGAGGCTGAAAGCCACCAGTAATGTCTGCTTCCCTGCATGGGAGCAAAGTGCAGTGGTTCCAATGTTAGTAGGAATCTGTGTTTGCTTCACTGACTTGCAGTGCCTGTTTCTTTCCTGGGCTAAGGTATCTTTTACTTTATGCAATAATAAAGAATGTTTTCAAAGCCAAAAAATCCATTTATTGAAAAGAAACACAACTGCTTGGGAAACAAAGGGCAAGGGGGTGGGGTGGGGAATGGTACAATCACAGATTTGCGTATGTCCTTTTATCAAACTCAGCCTTCCTGTCTGGAGTGCTGTGCAATGAGTGCTGCACTTCAGGATCGCTATACTGCATGGTGATGGGGGTTGAGTGCAGTGGGTAAGGGTCATAGTTTTCAGGGCTGGGTGGTGAAGCTACAGGCGTTGGAGGCAGCTGGTGGGGGTAAGAACCCGGATGTTGGGGAAAGTGGGTTGGAGGTGACACGGGGGCACAAGGGAAAGAGTTTTGGGACAAGGGGGCTCAGACATGGTAGTGCTCCACCTGCATGGCTACGAGCGCCTGGATTGAGTCCACTTGGCGCTCCATTATGCTTATCAGCCAATCCGTGCTTTGCTGCCGCAGCACCATGCTTTTGTGCCAGCGCTCCTCATTCTGCTGACGGATCCTCCTTTCACTGTCCCACCACTCCTGCACTTTTTGATTTTCATTACTTGAATGCTGCATTACTTCATGCAGCATGTCTTCCTTGCTTCTATGTGGCCTCTTTCTGATTCTTTGGAGTCTTTCAGCTGGTGATAGCATGGATGGCTGAGATCTCAAGGTTGCATCTGTAAAGGAAAAATGCAACACTTAACAGAGGCAGCATTGTTCACACTAGACAGAGCAATGATTCCCCTGTACTTAAGGGCAAGCACAGTCTACACAATAGCATAATTTGCCCGTCCCAAAGCAAGAGCACATAACCCACGGGGGCCCCAAAATAGTGAGTAAGCACAGGGTCAAGCGTGACTGGGGGGAGGGATAGCTCAGTGGTTTGAGCATTGGCCTGCTTAACCCAGGGTTGTGAGTTCAATCCTTGAGGGGGCCATTTAGGGATCTGGGGCAAAAAATATTGGGGATTGGTCCTGCTTTGAGCAGGGGGTTGGACTAGATGATCTCCTGAGGTCCCTTCCAACTCTGATATTCTATGACTGATTGTTTCACGGCTGTACTGTCCTCTGGGTTTCTGTGCCTTGGGGAGAGCCAACAGCAGCAATGGGCCTCTATACTGAACACTGTCCCCACATTTTCCACAGGAGTTCGTCCTTGAAGATCTCGCTGCTGACGGTAACCTGGGAAGCAAGGGAGGGTCTTCTACTGCAATGCGGCTTCCTCCCTGGCCCATATGCAGCTTGCCTGTGTGCAGCAATGGTCCCCCCCCACCCCTCACGGCACAGTGCCATGGACAAGTTAGCCTTACTGGGACAAGGACCACAGTGGCTCTCCCGAGAAACCTTCGCAAGCGCATTGCCCAAGTTCTGGATGAGACCTCTGAAGAGATCACTGAGGCCAATTACCACAATGTGAGAGAGCACATCAATGCCCTATTCTGCATCTAGGCCTAACCCTCCTAGCCCCAAGAGCCCGCACGGAATAACTTGCTTCCCAAAACAAAAGCCACTTACCGGGAACCTCCTCTGGTGTTTGTCCTTCCCCAAGCACCGGCCACTGCGACTGGTTACTTTCCTCCTGGCTTGAGAACAGCTCCTGGCTGCATGCATCTAGGGATTCCGGGGTGTCTTCCTCCACCTCAGCACCCTTGCTCCCGCTTTGCTCCTCCTGCCTTGTTGAACTGGGCTCTGAAGTGTCCATGGTGCTACTCAGAGTGGAGGTGGGGTCGCCCCCAAGTATCGCATCCAGCTCTTTGTAGAAATGGCAGGTTGCAAGGGCAGCACCGGAGTGGCTGTTTGCCTCGCGGGCTTTGCGGTAGGCATTCCGCAGCTCCTTCACTTTAACCCTGCACTGCAGTGCGTACCGGTCATGGCCCCTTTCCATCATGTCCTTTGATATTTGCCCGAAGGTATCGTAATTCCTATGGCTGAGGTGCAGCTGGCACTGGACAGCTTCCTCCCCGCAACAACTGATGAGATCCAGCATACTGCTATTGCTCCATACTGGGGATCACCTGGTGCGTGGAGGCATGGTCACCTGGAAAGATTTGCTGAGAGCACTCCACGCCTGGCTGAGCAAACAGGAAGGGGATTTTCAAAATTCCCAGAGTTTAAAGGGCGGGTCTGATAGTTGAGGTCACCTGAGGGCAGGGCAGTAGAGTTCAAAGTGATGACCAGAGTGGCTAGAACAGGTATTGTGGGACACTTCTGGAGGCTGATCAGAGCGCACTAACAGACCAGGGCATCCACACTGGTGCTTCGGCACTCCAGCGGGGGTGCACAAAACGTTATTCCATTTGCTGAGGTGGAGTACCAGGAGCGCTCTGCGTGCCTTGCCAGTGTGGACGGGTAGTGAGCTAGTGCGCCCAGGGCTCCTTTAATGTGCTCTACCTCGCAAGTGTAGCCAAGCCCTTAGCCTCACTATGTTCATATCTCCCACCACCCTCCCGCATCTGTACAATGATCAGAATATCTATTTCACAGAAGAGATAGTAAGTTACACAGAGAAAGGCGTACAGGAATGCAGATCATCAGCAGCAGCACTCAAATCATCATGCAGAGCAGATGGCTTAACAAGGGGTTTAAAACATATTTTCAAGGAGTCCCCATCAGCTCTTCTGCTGTTTGAGCCATATCTGATGGTAAAAACCTGAGGCGCCCTGCTTGCACTGACCTAAAAGTCACTTATGAAAGTGACTTTAGAAGCCTGACCACAACAATCTATTGCTCCTTTCTGCCAATATCTGGAAACCTACCTGCTGTAAACCAGACCTTGTTTGGCAGCGCTTTAGCCCAATACAAAAGAACTACTATTAACCCTGTAGTAGGATGATTTTGTGTTTGTATTTTGTATGATTTAGAATGAAGGATAAAGAATAATGAGATAATAATGTAGCATGTATTAAATGCACTGATGTATGATTTGACCATATCCTGCCAGCCATCCTTTTTGAATAGCAGAAAGGAATGGCTTGATACGCCATCGGTAGAGATGCATTAGCCAGAATTTCTTTGTGTCTGGATTTTAAGGGAGTAACAGACCTTTGAGAATCACCATTTTGTTGTAGGTTTAGCATTCTAAAATAAGTAAAAGAATGCCATGATTGTTTTCTTCTGCACTGCAACTTGATGTTCCTGTCCAAAATGTTCTGTGTAAATTAATTGTTTTGTGTGTGAATGAGGAATGTGTGTGTTGAGATAAGTGTGAAGGCCATCGCTGAACCAGATGGTCTAGGGAGGAACTGGAGACAGATGCAAGAGCACCAGGAGGCTGCAACAAGCCCCTACTGAAATATCAGAGGAGGGCAGATTGACTTCTCGAAAGATGAGACAGGCACCTATCAATGGGGACAAGATAACTGTAATCAAAACCAGCATGGGACAACTCCCTGAGAGAGTTGATGAAAGAAAAAGATAAAAGGATGAGAAAAACATTTAAGAAAACAAGCACTTGCCAAACAATAATTGATTACAGCAGGACGGTGCAAACCTCATTGGTCCCAATGAAGGAAAATCATTATATAAACAGGGTGCCACACTATGAAACTTTGGGTTGTCATGCCAAGACTTCCCCGAAGCATCATGTCGTGACTAACAGAACCCGGCTCTTGCTACCCGTGATCAACCTAGCTGGCCACTAGATTGTTCCGGACTCTGGACTGGTAACATCGACTGGCAGGACAGAGAGAGAGAGAGAGATAGCGTGTGTGCGCCTGTGCTAATTGTTGTATCTTTAATAAACACGGCACATTGCCTTTTCCCCTGAAAAAGATCCCATGTGCTTCTTATAAGCATAACAATCCCCTTCCTCCAAAAGTCTCAGAGAAATCAAGGTCCACAAACTTGCCCGTTTGCAAGGGAGTGCATCATTGTAGTCTGGTCAGACAGAAGTGCCCTTAGGTGTCTTGAGACAGACCTTTCTGGAAGAGAAGTTGCCTTGACCTCTTCCTCATCAGATTTCAAACTGGGCAAGTTAGTTTGCTTGCTCAGTTTAAATCTTTTCTCATCCAGAATTATAGAGAAGTTCTGCAGTCACACCTGACATGACATTTCTGCAGTCACACCGGACATGACATTGACAGTTACATGACATTGCACCTTTGCAGAACACCAGAGCAGGGAAGGAGATCCACACCAGAAGAGGCAAACAGACTCCACAATCAAGATGACTGTGTGGAGTCTGCTTGTTGCCTCTGGTCTGGGAAAGCATGAGTCCATGGATCTTCAGAGCACATTGCTAGAGCTGAAGAAGTTTCTTATTGAGGGTTAGAGAGTTAAAGTATTAAGAACCCCATACAGCAAGAATTCAGCCTAAGTGCAACCAGACATGGTTGAGTGCATCAGTTACCAAACAAATACCTCCCTCCACTGTACTGAAAGGCAGGAAACGGGCTTAGCCCACTGGACACATCTATCTCTTTGTATGCTGTAGTCACCAGAGTGATTTCAGAGCTGGCCACGATGATATAAAAAGGCACCTGCCAGGACTGACTAAACTATAGAATCACAGAAAGTAGGGCTGGAAAGGACCACGAGAGGTCAAGTCCAGCACCCTGCAATAAGGCAGAAACAAGTAAACCCAGACCATCCCTGACAGGTGTTTGTCCAACCTGTCAAAAAAGCCTCCAATGAGGGGAATTCAAAAAAAAACAAAACATAAAAACAAAAAAACAACCCCCCCCACCCTCCCTTGGAAGCCTATTTCAGAACTTAATTACCCTTATAGCTGCTCTATACTACGAGTTTGTTGAATTTAGCAGCGTTAAATCGTATTAACCCTGCACCCGTCCACACAACGAAGCCATTTTTTTCCAACATAAAGGGCTCTTAAAATTGATTTCTGTACTCCTCCCCAATGAGGGGATTAGCGCTGAAATCGACATCACCGTTTCGAATTAGGGTTAGTGTGGATGCAATTCGACGATATTGGCCTACGGGAGCTACCCGACACTGCATCATTGTGACTGCTCTGGACAGCATTCTGAACTCGGATGCACTGGCCAGGTGTACAGAAAAAGCTCCGGGAACTTTTGAATCTCATTTCCTTTTGGCCAGGTGAGCTCATCAGCACAGGTGACCATGCAGAGCTCATCAGCACAGGTAACCGTGCAGTTCCAGAATCAAAAAAGAGCTCCAGCGTGGACCGAATAGGAGGTACTGGATCTGATCGCTGTATGGGGAGATGAATCCGTGCTATCAGAACTACGTTCCAAAAGACAAAATAACAAAACATTTCAAAAAATTTCCAAGGCCATGATGGACAGAGGCTACAGCAGGAACGCAACACAGTGCCGCGTGAAACTTAAGGAGCTCAGACAAGCGTACCAGAAAACCAAAGAATCAAACAGACGCTCCAGGACAGAGCCCCAGACATGCCGCTTCTATGCTGAGCTGCATGCAGTTCTAGGGGGGGCCGCCACCACTATCTCACCACTGTCCGTGGACTCCGATGATGGGGTACTCTACCCCATACCTGAGGATTTTGCTGACGGGGAAGATGAGGAGCAGCTTGAGGAGAGCACACAGCACACCGTTCTTCCCGACAGCCAGGATCTTTTTATCACCCTGACTGAAATACCCTCCCGACCCAACCAACCCGGGGAAGGGACCTCTGGTGAGTGTACCTTTTTAAATACAATACATAGAATCATAGAATATCAGGGTTGGAAGGGACCCCTGAAGGTCATCTAGTCCAACCCCCTGCTCGAAGCAGGACCAATTCCCAGTTAAATCATCCCAGCCAGGGCTTTGTCAAGCCTGACCTTAAAAACCTCTAAGGAAGGAGATTCTACCGCCTCCCTAGATAACGCATTCCAGTGTTTCACCACCCTCTTAGTGAAAAAGTTTTTCCTAATATCCAATCTAAACCTCCCCCACTGCAACTTGAGACCATTACTCCTCGTTCTGTCATCTGCTACCATTGAGAACAGTCTAGAGCCATCCTCTTTGGAACCCCCTTTCAGGTAGTTGAAAGCAGCTATCAAATCCCCCCTCATTCTTCTCTTCTGCAGGCTAAACAATCCCAGCTCCCTGAGCCTCTCCTCATAACTCATGTGTTCCAGACCCCTAATCATTTTTGTTGCCCTTCGCTGGACTCTCTCCAATTTATCCACATCCTTCTTGTAGTGTGGGGCCCAAAACTGGACACAGTACTCCAGATGAGGCCTCACCAATGTCGAATAGAGGGGAACGATCACGTCCCTCGATCTGCTCGCTATGCCCCTACTTATACATCCCAAAATGCCATTGGCCTTCTTGGCAACAAGGGCACACTGCTGACTCATATCCAGCTTCTCGTCCACTGTCACCCCTAGGTCCTTTTCTGCAGAACTGCTGCCTAGCCATTTGGTCCCTAGTCTGTAGCTGTGCATTGGGTTCTTCCATCCTAAGTGCAGGACCCTGCACTTGTCCTTATTGAACCTCATCAGATTTCTTTTGGCCCAATCCTCCAATTTGTCTAGGTCCTTCTGTATCCTATCCCTCCCCTCCAGCATATCTACCACTCCTCCCAGTTTAGTATCATCCACAAATTTGCTGAGAGTGCAATCCACACCATCCTCCAGATCATTTATGAAGATATTGAACAAAACCGGCCCCAGGACCGACCCTTGGGGCACTCCACTTGATACCGGCTGCCAACTAGACATGGAGCCATTGATCACTACCCGTTGAGCCCGACACTCTAGCCAGCTTTCTACCCACCTTATAGTGCATTCATCCAGCCCATACTCCCTTAACTTGCTGACAAGAATACTGTGGGAGACCGTGTCAAAAGCTTTGCTAAAGTCAAGAAACAATACATCCACTGCTTTCCCTTCATCCACAGAACCAGTAATCTCATCATAAAAGGCGATTAGATTAGTCAGGCATGACCTTCCCTTGGTGAATCCATGCTGGCTGTTCCTGATCACCTTCCTCTCATGCAAGTGTTTCAGGATTGATTCTTTGAGGACCTGCTCCATGATTTTTCCGGGGACTGAGGTGAGGCTGACTGGCCTGTAGTTCCCAGGATCCTCCT